TGGAGTTACATCGACATATTGTAGTTTGGAGTTGAAATACCAACTTAAAGACGGATATCCACCGATGCGCATAAAAGATGATAGAAGTCTGAAATTCTACGTCGAGGCGAAGTCAAGGGACCAAGACTACACGAAATACCCTGTATGTGTTGTAGTAAACTCTACATTTGAGGTGGAGAGGTCGGACGAGAGAGCCACGACCTATGAAAAAAATGATTTGAACACATGTATAGCTCCTTTGAGGTATGCTGCTCTCGACAATTATGTTGAAAATCCTGAAGGGCCTATGAATTTTATGGCGTTTGCACGCAGAGTTGCTGAAGATATGGTAGAAGACGCTGCATATACTGAACATAAACTTGACATATACCAGCAGCCTGATAATATTGTTTCGATCGAGGATCAGTTGACCTCTGATTTGGTTGTGGGGGTTTCATTCAAGGATAAATCAATTTTGCAGAGGTTTTTAAGTGTCCATGCAATTAAGAATCAATATCAGTTCCGTGTTGAAAAGTCGTGTAATAAACAGTATTATGTGAAGTGTATGTCCGGCGATTGCACATGGTTTGTTAAAGCATCTCGTGTTGGTCATTCAAGCACCTTCAAGATAAGAGAGCTCGGAACCGAACATAAATGTTCATTTGATGTTCGAGCAAGTGGTCAAAGGCAAGCTACTTCGAATGTTGTTTGCAACCTTATCAAGTCGAAGTTCATGAACAATAAGACTTCATATACGGCTGCTGACATCATAGATGACATGCAAATCAGATACGGTATAAACTTGTCGTATCACAAGGCATGGAGATCAAAGCGCAAAGCTATTGATGAAGTTCGGGGAAATGCTAGTGATTCTTATGATTGTGTTCAACAATATCTTGAGAAGTTACGTGCAGCAAATCCAGGAAGTATACTGAAGTTGTGTGCAACTCCGGATAAGAATGTTTTGTACGTGTTCATGTCTCTTAGCGCATCCGCCAAAGGATGGAAGTATTGTCGTCCGATTGTTGTTGTGGATGGGACATTTCTAGCATCGTCGTATGGAGGAATTTTGCTAACAGCATGCTGTCAAGATGCGAATTTTCACATTCTACCACTTGCATTTTGTGATGTTGATTCGGAAAACAATCAATCATACTTGTGGTTTTTCAACAAATTACAAACACTGATTGGTGACAGAGATGGGTTATGCATCGTTTCGGATGGACACGAGAGTATAAAGAATGCTGTAGAAAAGGTAAACATAATTTTATATTATGCACATATATCGATTACGTTTGGTATATTGATTGTTTATATTCAGTTTATGTACAGTATATGTACGACTTTGATCCAACATTTTCTTGGCAGCTTGTAGACAGTTTATATGCAGCTTATGATCATTATATTATAGTAATATAGCCAGTGTATTTGGTTAATCCACAGTTTATTTATAGTGTATTTTTTCGGTTATGGTACATATATGTGACAAATATTGCATTAGCATAAATATGGATAAAATTAAGATTTGCATATGAGTTTTGATTTTATTGTAATGTTATATTTTTGTAGGTATTTCCGAACGCAGCACACTGCCTTTGCACGTATCATATATCAAACAACATTAAGAAACATTATAAAAAGGAGGTGCAAGCGGTAAAAGATTCATTTCACGCAGCAGCAAGGTCCTATACAGTTGAGGATTATGATATGCACATGTCTGAGATAGAAAAGCTGAATCCGGATGTAATAACGTATCTGGAAAAAATTGGAGTACAAAAGTGGGCAAGAATTCATTGTCCAAAGAATAGGTACTTCACAATGACATCTAATGCTGCTGAAACAGTTAATTCGGTGACAAAGTCAATTCGTGATCTTCCAATAACAACATTGTTAGAGGCGTTGAGAGAAATGCAACATAAGTGGAATGTTGCCAACAGAGAGGAGGCGAAGGCAACATTTACTACACTTGCTAAAAAGCCCCATAACATGTTGGAAAATAATTATAAGGCAGCATCGAGGTATTCGGTAAGACACATATGACATACATATACTATACATATAATTTATATATACTGCTTATAATTTTTTCTTTTCTTTCTTTTTTTTTTTGTGTTTACCGTAGGTTCAGAAGGCAAGTGAAAAGATCTTCAAGGTGATAGCTGATGGAAAGGCATATATTGTGGATATAGATACGAAGACTTGCACTTGCAACCGGTTCCAAATAGATGAACTCCCATGCCCACATGCTATACGCGTGATAAAGTCTCTGCACTTGGATCCAATACGCTTTTGTTCAGCGCACTACCTAACATCAACTATGTTGGCTACGTATGATGAAGCGGTGATACCTGTTGAAGGAAACTCGTATGTTACTAATGATGTGCACTCGACGCAACGACAAATAAATCCTCCAGATGCTAAAGTTAGGCCTGGACGGCCACAAAAGCAAAGATTCAAGTCGGGATGGGAGCACAAGTCGAAGAACAGATGCGGCAGATGTAATGAGAAAGGTCATAATGTGAAAACTTGTAGGAATCCATTGAAGTAAAAATTCTATGGAGGTATCTAGGAATTTGTCTGATTGTAATCCCTATTCTCATGTATATAATTAGTTAAATAAATATTAGATTTATTAGAATTTAATTAACTATTTTTTTTTTAAATCAAAGTTTAAATGCATTAGTAATTATATATATATATATATATATATATATATATATTTATAACGTGGAGTCAGTTATCAAGAACATGTCTTGTAACAATTTCAATACACAAGAAATGTTGAGCTACATCTATCTGTTATTGTCATATAAACTAAACATAAACTGATGAAGATATAATTCATAACAGTATACATCCTATAACTTCGTAGGTATATAAATATGTTCTATTATAAAATGATGGATTTTATATTATAATAATCTCAAGTATCTGTTTTATATTGTGGAACATGATATGATATAAAAATATGAAGTGTTGGTACAATTATACTCATCATAATCATGAAATAAACTATACAATTGCACCGGACAAATGTTTGGTGTGTATTCAACATTTACGTTTTATTGTCTACATATACGTATTATTTTCAAGATGTTAAAAAAAAGTTTTATTAACTACATATAAGTTTGATGTAAGAAAATATACATAAATCACATCATTAAGTGAGGTAATTAAAATTTAACCAAAATTATATTTAATTAGAAGTTACATATACCTCTAATACTGTCATACGAGAAAAAAAAATGAAAATTGCTGCAACAAATAATAAACAAATAATGTAAACAACATCAATCTAGATAAATGGCGTCCAAAAATCACAAAATACCATCAATTCAACTTACCTACAAAGCACCATTAAATATTTTGTTTCATGTTCAAGGTAAGAGAGGATAGAATGTGTCTGCCAATGCTCCAAAAAAA